TAATATTGAATTAATAATTTATTGTTCACACTTACAGCATTTAATATTTAGTTGAGCGAAGTATCTTTGAACTATTTCACTCATCTAAACAATTAAATATCTGTAGTAATATATAACTAACTAAATACTATTTAGTTTATTAAATAATAAGTATCAATACTTTTAAAAATATTCTGCTTCAGAATATAAAACTTAAAATATATGTCATCGTTAAAAAAAAAAAAATATTGCGACTAAAAATAATAAAACTATTTTATGTTATTTACCAAAAAATTCGGTCTTTGAGTAATGTAAAAATGTTGTTTCCAATATACATAAATTGATCGAAGAGAAGAAGGTTGATTGTTAAAACAACCACTCTATACTGTATAAATACATACTCAATTTATTACTAAATTTGATTCTTTTTTAAAAGAAAATACCAAATTATTATCTTGCCCATTAAATTATAAGTATAGAATAATACATACAGTATAATTTTAACCATCATTAATTCGATTAAACTCAATCAATTACTTAATTATTTCGTTTATAAGATAAATAATTTAAATTACTCACTAACTAAAATATAAATTGTAGTGCTAATAACATATTTATCCAATTCATTATCATCCTAATATTCCAGGAACTCTGTTTAATTTATCTAAAAGATTATTTGATGAATTAGTTAATTAATTAATTTATCGATTGATAATTCATAATCGGAGTGTTGTCAATAGTTAATAATCTAAAAATCAACAACTACATCTATCAATTTTCCTAAACTGTGTAAACCAGAGTCTGAATTGATATTGATATTGATACAAAAAAGTATGTAAAAAATGTTGTAAACAAATATATAATAAATCTAAAGAGTGTCAATGTACGTTAAATTTTCCAATATAATAGCTATATATATGTATATGCAATTAAGTTTTGCATTTTCCAATATAGAACTAATTATATTTACTCCATGTCAACATCGTTGACATTTTACAAATTAATTCGTGATATAGTCGTTTAATATTTAATAAAAAGACTATTTAAATACTCATAATTGGTAAGATTAATTTTGAAAGACATTAAATTATTATTTCATAAAATAAAATAGTAAAATATTATAAAGTATTATAATATAAAGATATATAATGAAAGAATTTCTAAAAGTATATGACAAACATAGAATCAAATTCTTAATCGTTTATATTTTATGCTAATAAAAAAAAAAACAACGATTAACTAACAAGTCATAAATCAATCAATTGACAAAAGATAAAAAACATACAATAATTTAATATTAATTTTAAATAAATGCAATATTTTAAAAAGAAATTTAAGCTTTTTATTCGAATATTAAAAATAAGATGACATTTGAAATACGTTTAACAAAAGTGATCAATAATTAATGTACAAATTATTAGCTAGTAAAATAAATACTAGGACTTCAAATTAAAAAGCAAAAGTATCTATATCTGTTAAAATTGAATTTATAACTATAACATTAAAACTATATTTATTTGTTAAATAAAATACAATTATTTGAAAATTTTAAATTTATATTATAGATATTTTAAACGGTAATTAATAAGTTTCAAATGAACTAATAACTCCGAATAATTTCACGGAAGAAGCATCTTATGTAAGTTATAACTAATCTAATAAGTAATTAATACCTGCACATTTACAATAAAAATAAAACATACTACATTAAGAATCAATAATACTTTCACATATATTTAAAAAAAAAAATCATCTGAGAGTAGTAAACTAACATATACTATAACTATAACGAACTGCACTCATTCAAAAAAGGTATTATAACTTAAAGTGGATTTCCACTATGAACGTTCATGTGTGCGTGCATAAAAATTGCTGTAACCGTGTTGTTGGACAAAGCTTAACATTTTTTGTGTACATGACTTGTTATATACAAAAAATTTTGTTTCCACTATTAACGTCTTTAAAAAAATCTGCCTTTATAAAAACGTTAAAATATTACGAATCTTACGTATACGAACAACGCGGTACAGTAACAAATAGATACTTATATTTTAATGCAGAATACTGACAAAAGACCTTCAACAACATGGTACAAGAAAAAAATTATATTAATATATATTTGTATACCAATATTATTTAATATTAATAAATGTATTAACTTATATATTCAAACACGTATTACCCGGTTAGAGATTTTGAATTCAGTTTGTTATTATTACAATCAATTAATGGAAAACGTTGAAAAAAAAATTATAATAATGATAATAATAATATTTGACAATTTAATTAATTATATTATTAATTATATTATATATTATTTAACTAATTAATTTTAAGATTTTAAAAATTGTATATGAAATTGTATATTGTATATTATATTACATGTAATATAATATATTAGCAAGATGGTTTTTAAAAAAAATTATTTTAACCACAACAATGATTAAATCGTTGTCAATTCAAAGCTTGTAAGTGATAAGGGAAATTAGGGTCTTCTAAACGGTTAACCCCTTCAAATGCATGAGATTTCTGTTGTAATACCTTTTTTCAACCTAAGTGCAATTTGACCTATGTAGACAATATAAGACAATATCACTTTGACGATTTAATGAAGTTTATGTTTGTGCGTCATGTACTATAATATTTTTTAAAATCTTGAACTCCCTAAAATTAGAAAAAATAACAGGTAAGGGAGGAAGGAATAGCTCATTAAGTTTTAAATGATTTCTGACAGTGGTAAATTCATTATACTTAGAAAAATAGAACCTAATTTCATATATATAATTAAATTAATTATATCATATTATATAACATAAATATACGTTTAAAACTATTATATTTTAAATGCCTTTCGTACATATAATAAATATAATATTTTTTTTAACTCAAATACTGTATTTACATGAATTGTAACCGTAATATTTAAATCCCAAAGGTCCAATACATTTGACATTTCTCGCCTAACTAATAATTCAGACAAATGGAGTCTAATTCTGTCAACAATATTGCCATGTGGCACTATTGGTTATTCAAATACAATTGAAAAATAAAAAAAGTGTCATAACAAACGAAAGATGTGTTGTCGATTATTACAAAATAATAACAAAAAAAATCACAATAATACTGAGCTTGCTGATTTATATATTTATTTCGCTTAACAATAAACTAATAATATATATATTATAAATAGAGTTAAATATTATTTATAGTACGTTTAGTTCCAATGTCATAATAATAGTTTCTAAAATGTTGAAATTTAATATAAGTTTCAGTTGTTGTTCTCAAAATACATGATTATAATTTCAATAGTATTATTTATATAGATATTGTAATCGTATATTATATTGTATTGGATTTATGTACAATTTTAAAATAATATAGGCCATCAAATAATATGGAAATTGAAAAAACATGAATAAAACCGGGAATAAATTATAAATATTTAATAGTAAAACGGTAGCCATAACATTTCATACGGTTAAAAATAGTTCAATATTTTTATTTTTTATTTTTCGATTGCTTGAATTTATTTTTAATAATTGCTTATACAAGTAAATATCATATAAGAAAGACGCAAAAATGTATTTTATATTATTAATTTAAAAGTATATTTTTTTGATCTTATCTATGTCGAGATATACTTATGTGTCTAATTAACGAGATGGGCAGAGTTAAATGACACACACTCAATAATTCAGTGTATCATAATTGATTAAATTAAGTTAATTTTAATGTACATTTTTTCGATATTATACACAAATAAAACTATCAACTTGTTAATATTAAATAAATCTGCATACATAAAAATAAATGTGTGAATTTTTTGTTGAGTTCAATAAAAATATGATAATTTTTATAATAATATTAGTGTTATTAGATAATTTAAGTAAATATTAGAGGCAAGGTGGCACGGATCTTTTAAAGCAGAACTTTTTTTTCAGATGCATCATGTTGCACATATCGATTGATACACAATTTTTATGTATATTTGTATATGTAAAAAATATTAACCCGTTAAATTTTAAATCAATAATTAACCACAAAATAATTAAATTAAAAATATAATGCGCCATATAAAAGTATAAAAAGAAGGTTAGACATGACTATATCATTGGACGATGTAATGTATTTATTATGTACATTTGTGTTAACTATTAAACCACCAAAACAATGCGAACATTAAGGCACTTTTAATATAAATTAAAAACGATCACAGACAAATTAAAAAGTTGTGTTTTTAATTTTGTAGACGAAATTTGAGTGTGTTATTTTAATAGAGAATACTCATCTAACGGTTTAAAACGATAGATTAGCATTGAAGATGTGAGTGAAAAAAAAAACGTTATAAATAAACTCTACAGTTAAAGTAAAATGCTTTGAATAAACTACAAGTCTTAAAACGCTAAAATATAAATGATAATGACGATAAACACGTTATGCGTTTTGTAATTGTGGTGACGAATGAATAAATGCTGAATAACTATAACGTGTTTGAGATTGTCTTGGGTTCACACAAAAATTGCAAAAATTTTTAACACGTAGGAATAAAATGAAAAGGTTTAATCCCTGGAAAAAGATACAGTATGTAAGTTACCAACACGAATTATTGTGTTCGGCGGTTATCGTGTGGTGTTCGTGTAGTTTTAATTTCTTAATTAATTATACCGTCATTACATGTGATTTCTCACGCATCACATCGATGGTATAATATAACAGCATTGTTTTTTATCGGGTAAACGTAGAGCAAAAACCGGCAAGTCGACGAGTACGGCAATTTTCATATATTTTTTGCTCGCCCTCGTGCCCCCACGATACCCTTGTGTTACGTATCAAGTACACGTTCGCGTTAAAATTACCTATTGTTTATTACTGAACAATGTTTGTAAACTTATTTTTTTTCGATCACGTAAACGCGTCCCGCGACCGATATCGCAGTCGACTTCCGTTTCATTATTATGTCGTTAAAAATGTAACACGGGCGGCCGTTGTGTAACAAGATAATAATTTACACGGTCTCTTACCTGGGCGATGCGTTCCGTGAAGGTTGCGGCTACGTTACTCGTTGTGCGGTCGTCGGTGGCGACGATCAGCAGCAGCCGCAGGCACCGCAACGACTGCAGGACCGGACGATCACGTTGCCCGGAAAATCATGTCCTGGGGACACGGCGGCAACCTGACAAACTGTTTCCGCGGTGCGATTCGTTTCCCCGACCGGGAGACCGCACGACCGAAACGCGAAGCGAACGAATTATTTTTCCGCGACTTTCGTCCCCGTGTTCGTCGACGTCCGCCGGTGGCTGTCCGCGAACATTGACAACGCACCAGTTGTGCAACAGGACGGTGCGCGAACCGCCCGTTCCGGTGACGGCGGGAAGAATTGTTACCGAAAAACTACGCTGACGGGAACTGGTATGGCGCGGGAGTGAGAGGAACTGCCGGTTGGACGACAATTCGAGAAAAAGATACGCGCGAACGGACGAACGGACCCGCTGTTCGCACTCACGACACGAACACACAGGGCGGACGAGCGTACCGCACACGCACACGCACTAGCACGCACACGCGATGATCAATGGCTCGACGACCACCGATGACAGCGAGACGATGACGACAGCCCTGGTGGTGACGGCGACGGTGGCGGCGGCCGCGGCGGCAACGACAATGAACTTGGCACGCTTGCGATAAACAACAATAATAATAACAACAATATAACGATATATTTCAGTAACAATATTACGTGGACACGTACGCGGTGCACTCGCGGATGACGCGCGAACGAACGCGGACGAACGGAGATGGCGAAGCGAACACGACGCACTGGCTCGGCCGCGGCACGTCCGGACCACACGACGATCCGGTCTCGGTCGGCGTGCGCGCCGTATCCCCCTCACTACCGCTACTATACCGCGCCGAAACGGTGGTGGTGCGGTGGCGACATCGCGCGCGCGTTTTCAATTTTTTTTTTTCTCTCTCTCCCTTTCGCCCCTCCTTTTCCCTCGTTCCGCGGATTTCCTCGCGAACCTGTTGCTGTCGGCCGTCACCCGGACCGAACGGTGTTAAACGCCTTCCCTGCAGAAAACACTACGGTCCCTACACCATTTTCGGCGTTCCTTTCCGTCTACCTCTTTCCCCGCGATTGATTGTCTCTAATTAATCGCACATTCGTACAACGCACGATGCGGTTGTATATGATTTACGATGTGTAATGAACGTTTGACATGAATCAGTTGTCGCAGCTATCGGCTATTTTTAAAACGTTACACATTTTCAACTTACTATAAGTAGATCAAACAGTTGAGCGTTCCAGTAAACTTTTCGAATTTTCTAGCGCTACGAACAGGTAACAGTGCCTCAACTACCGGGTGTGCAAGATGCAAGGTGTGCATTGCCCATCGGACTCCAATCCGTTATAGGCCTCACACGATGTATTATTATAGACATTTTAACTGAAGTAAATCGATAAATGTAAAAAACAGATTTATCATATTATTAAATATTTATAATCAAATAACATACCCAGATACTAACTAGTTGCCAATGACCAAATGCAATATCATTGATTATAAATTCTATTATATTACTAAAATCCTATGGTAATATTAATTCTTAGAACAGAAATAACAAAAAATAATGCAGGTCATTTAAAATTAAAGATCTACTAGACTACCTTCCATAATATAAACACCGATTAACACATTTTATTTATAGTAGGTAAATACTTTTTTGAAAAAATATTTAGACCCCAAATTCAGATTTGCATACCAGCTCCATAGTGTGTAGCTGCGGCACTGATAGGTAGTAAGGCGTCTCCTCCACTTGGAGTCGTGCAGCTATACCGCCGTAACGCAAAACCGATGTTAATCGACAATTTCGCGGAGCAAGGTTAGAGGGATGATTTCTTGATTTTTATCATTATTATAACACGGTTTCATACATGGTGTTTAATATCGTGTATGCCCAAACCTAATTTTTATCTCCGTAGAACCGTGCTAATTTTTTGTTTTACCGTTGTACACCGTAAGTTCGGTACACGAAAAATCATCGATTTACGTTGTTCGCCCAGCCAGAAAATATTGGATCGCATTAAAAGACAAATTAAATGACCGATTGGTCACCTCCCCTCCAACGGCTTGATTGGCACGAATGCGGTCGGAAATGATAAAATCTAGCTGGCTGATTGACCTGCTGAATATAGAGTATATAGGAACACGTGTATGGATTATTGTTTTGCATTTCCCCTTCCGTTTCGTACGCGGTTTTAATGTACGTAATGTGTTGTACACGGTTATTTTTCGTTGTGATTTCGTCCACGCCGACAACAACCCGCGGTATTTTTCATTCGTATTCCCGTGATCCGCCGGATTAACTATCACCGCCCGCGGACAGTTCTGCTTGTAAGCGTGACAAAATTAAACTTTGTAAAAATGATATATCTATTCGCAATAATGAATATCATAGGTTTTGCTTTATTAGGTAATTAGCCTAAATTAACATGAGAAAGTCACCAATCCGGCGTTACGTCATTACGTCCGATCATGAAACATCATATACACGTTAGAGGAAAATATTACACTTAATACCTTTTAAAAAGTAAGTAAGTTTGAATATAAATATATATCTGAATAAGGTTCGAATAATTATCACAGCATCATAATTACTACATAACCATATTGTGTAATACCATATTTTTTAAAACATTTTTTTTCGTATCAACCTATATCATATGGTTTATCAAACAACGGACTTTGTGTAATAACTTATTTTTATAGTATATTCATTAATATTTTATTAAAGAGCTAATTATATATATTATTGTATATTTAGTTGATTCATAATATAACAATACTAAACTTAAAATTATTTAAAATTATTGATAAATATAATATAAAATTTAAAGTTCTGGGTTAGCATATTTCTAAAATACTAATAAACAAGGCTAGGCAAGTTAACGATTTTTTTTAACTCATTAAGTTAAGTTATTTTAAAATAAAAAAGTTGAATTCAATTTAAAGTTAATTATATTTTTTCGTTAACTCGTTAAGTTAAAAGTTAATTTTGAAAAAAAAATTAACTTAACTTAATTTAAAGTCAAAATTTTCTAATTTGGAAAAATAAAAAATTGCACACATAATATTAGTTTTTTATGCTCAAGAAAATTACTGAGGAAATTTAAAATTATACATAAAAGTATTAACTAGCCATCAAAAAACCTACTTTTCTAAAATAAATCTTATTCCTGAACTCATACTCCAATCAATTTACAATTTTAATAATGAAATTAAATTGGAAATTATATCATAGTTGTTTTATGATTAATCCCCCATCGACACTTGTTCTCATGGTATTTACTATTTTCACAGAATATTCTTAGGATTTCCATGAGTTTATAGTGTTTATACAATAACAGTGTTATAAAAATATAATGATAAAATATAGCCCATATAATGACTATTAAAGTTATTTTTCATATTATTTTCGTCTACAGGAAATTCATATTAAATAGTAAATTATAAATATACTAAAAACCTCATTTAATAATTTGCATTATTCTTTGCACTAAAATTAACTTAATTTAGATACTTTTGAATAAAATTAACATAAAGTTAACACGTTAATCTTAAATAAAAAGTAACTTATTAAGTTAAAAGTTAATTTGTAAAAAAAGTAACGAGTTAATTAACTTAATTAAAATTAACTTAACGTTTTAACTAAATTTTAACTTTTAACTCATTAATGCCCAGTCTTGCTAATAAATAACGCCAAAACGATTCAGAAAAAACAAATAAACGTCAAACCAAATAATACAACAGTTGTTATGAATATTTTCATGTAATAGTTATGGTTGATCAAACATAGCCCATAATGTTTAAAAAGCAATTCAAAAATATTTGTCAGGTGTTGCTGAATATTAATACTTTAACTCTATATAGTTAATAATGAAACTGTTGTTTGTGTTATTCGATTCGAAATAAATACCTTTACATTCATCACAGCTAAAAATTTTATTAATTTGCAAAATTTTCAAACAAATCCAAATAGTTACAAAATTCAATTACAATCTGCTGAGCATGGTTTTCTAGATATTTAATCTCATAAAACCAACAAAAAAGTTTTAAATAAAACGTCTGTTAGAAATGCGTAAATCTATACACATTACAAAAGTGTTATGCCAGTTTATATATTATATGATTAATTTTCGCCGATCTACATATATGGGTAGTTATATTATAATATTATTATACAAGACTAGATTTGGTACTAAATTTTTCATACATGTATATACAATATATGTATAAAAATTTGTTAAATTAAATTTTAAAAACCTACTTTGCATGTTTTCATCTTATTTGATTTTACAAAAAACACCTATTAATAGTCTTTTAAAATGTCTTAATAACAGCATTTCTTATTCAATAAATCTACTATTTATATTTTTTATAAATGAAAATACTTACTTGTATACTTGGGACCGACCTCATTACGCAAATTCTCCGTTAAATTGTTCTGAGGATTTTTTGCCAAATCGAACGTATCATACTGGATACTCGCATTTCCTTTGAACATCTCCACAAGAGTTTTGGCCATCAATCCACATGATTGTTTTCCAGATACTCTCCAATAACCGTCAATGTCGTATATAAGTAACACATTTTTCCATGAATACCTAAAAAAAACCCTTTCAAAAACGTTCAAACACCCGTGTTATCATTAGACATAGCCGGAAGGCACACTACTCCGGTAGTGGCTACCTGTTTAAAACACTGAGAACCACGTCCGCTATATCCTGGAAATCTAACGTTCCCGTTCGTACTAATAAGAAATATTTGCTTTTCGGATCTCGTTTATCCAATGAAAAATCATTTGTAAAACCACCTGTCGTTAGCAATGGTGCATTCCAAAACTTTATCATCCTGGCAACGAGATCTAAAAACAAATACAATAGGTATTTAAAATATAGTCAAATATTATTTCAAGTAAAAACAAATTTATTTATTGGACCACCGAAAAATATTTTTAATTCAACAGAATATATATATATTATAACTATTTCAAAATAATTGAATGTCTAATAACTATAAAAAAAAAAACCGCTATAATCTATTAATTAAAACTATATTCTACTCCACACATTTTATTTTTTTTATTTTTCAGTTTTGATTTTTATTCTATGTAGCTCTGTATAACATGTATTAAAAATGAATCTATATGAACCTCATTTATCATTAATATATATATATATGAGATAGATAAAATCATAAAAAATATTCATGGGTAAAATAATATAAATTTATCTGGTTTGTTTTTTAGTCAATAGAAAATAATTTAGCTACGCTATTTCAACTTATGAATCAATAATCTTATAGTTGACTCAATTGTTTGATTGGTGTGTTTTAGTCAACTCAAACAATAATTGAAAGATTAAAAAAGACCTAATCTCACAAATGTTGTTAATAGTTAAATAGGTATAATAATTACGATTAATGAATACATGAAACAGAATAACATAATATGCATACAAAAATATAAACAAAATTTAACATGTACGATATATTTGAATAAATATATTTATTTTAGTCCTTAATAAATAATTTAAATGTTATCAATGTTGATATCAAATTTTTTCTAAGAATTCAAGGTCAATATTATTCCCCGTTAAACCTGATAACGATTATTAAGACACTTATGATCTATTATTTTTATTGTATAGTACGTTGTCAAATGTACTTAAATATCTTACGTTCATTATGAATATAATATTTTAATATTAACTGTAATCTTTATTCATTCTCATATAAAATTTAACTTAAATTATAATTTAGTTGTATATGGTAATTGTAATACTTACTTCGACTTAATAGTCGTAGATGATTAATTCAAAAAGTATCGGTACACTAAATTTCAATTTATTTTATTATAATTATTATCTTATACTTACTCGTATTTTAATAAATTAACTAAAAAATATGTAAGTATTTAACTAAAAAGTCACATGTATTTTTCAAGGACATATAAAACAAATTTAAAAAAAAAAAGTTGAACCGTTCTAAATCTAAAAATATGAAAAAGAAAGACCAATATATTATTGAACCCAACTATATGTTGTGTATGCGTGATTTTACAATGCTCGTAATTTATTCGAAATGTACCTCATATAAAATTGAAGAAAAGTACAATATGTATTTAATATATATATTTTTATACAATCAAATGTAATTCGCAATATTGATATATTTTATATGTACAAATAACAAGAATATGATTTATATGTATATTGATATGATAATTTTCCTCTTTTTGCACAACCCACTTCGTAAAATGATGATGAAATCTTCTTTAGGATTGGATAAGGTCCAATTCTTACCTTATCCATTTTCATTCTTTTTAGTTTACTTCCATTTTCAACATAAACTTAATTTCCAACTTTAAA